TTTACTTTGTTTATTGAATTAATATGTCACACATCCAAGAAGTCCTCAGAGAATTGTTTTAAACATCACAGACACGATGATTCAAAATTCCAATGTTTCAAAAATAGTGTAAATACAGTATAAGGCTACTGAAAAGCAGCCAATAAAGTAACTTAAGATTTTTTTACAAGTTCTTAAAAATGGCTGATTAAAAAAAAATTTGTCTAACTCAATAAGAAATGCTACACCAAATGTATAACTTTCTTCAGGAAAGAAGGTTGTAAAATGGCTTCTACTCAGAAGTCTCTACCAAAATAATTTTTGGCAAAGGCATGATTCAAAGTAAGGCAGCCCATGATGTTATTGCATGGTCACACTGAAAAAAGAAGTGGGCCAAGTTATTTACAGCTTCAAGAAATTAAAGATAACACTTTGAATAGTACCTGAAAAAGTGTAAGCTAGTGGAGTTCTTCCAACACCAGCATGATATATTTCTGGCTATTTAATCCTGCTAACAAGGGTGTTACTGAATTTTTTTTTTAAAAAATGGTATTTCCAAACACACTTCAAAAGCAGCTCCACATAGTGAGTTACAGTAGTCCAGATATATCACAGTTGCTAAACCACCTTTTTCAAAGAACATTCACAGCTAGGTATCTATGGTGACAAACCTGATAAAAGGGCCTTCAAGCTCTAGTTAGTCCTGGCTGCGCACCTTTTCTTTCAAGGGGAGTACAATCCTATCTGAACTACACAAGCCATACACTTCTAGACATTTGAACCACCTATTATTAGTTACTCAATCTTCCATGAACTCTTTTCACTGTTAACATAAAGTAACTTGAACTTTCAAAAGGCAACTAGCAAATGTGTTTAATAAATACATTTATCTAAACTGAGCTTCTATTTGGTCACCCTCATATAGTCCATCACTTCATATACAATGTTTATAGAGATTTTTAAAAATTATTACATTTATATCTCATCAAAGAACCTAAGGCACTTTATATAGTTCTCCTCTGCTTTATCCTTACAATTACCCTGTGAGTTAGGTTAGGCTGAGAATCTGTCACTTGTCCAAAGTCATCCAATGAACATGGCTGAGCAGGGACTAGCATCTATAAGTTTCAATCAACTACTGCACCATGCTAGACTTGTCAGCTTCCTTGACATTCTAATGTGCAGTTACAATACATTCAAACATTTAATGGGAATGATATGGGGGTGGTTCCCTTGGACCTCTCAGCAGCTTTCAATACCATAATATTCTTCTGGATAGGCTATTTGGGCTGGGTGTTGGCGCTATTATGGTACAGTGATTCAGCTTCTGCTTGGTTAATCTTCCAGAAGGAGCTGGAGGATAATTGCTCTGATCCCTCACACTTATGTAATAGGGTGCCATAGGGCTCTATTTATTCACCATGCTGTTCAAAGTCTATATAAAACTATTGAGGGAGGTTATCTTTGTGGGGGAAACTGAGATGTCAATAATATGTAGATAATACTCAATTCTATCTTTCCTTTTAATCAAAACAAGCTGAGGCAGTGGGTGTTCTGAATCAGTACTTGGGAGTAGTAATGGACTTAAAGATGCCAAATAAACTGAGACTTTGTATAAAATGAAATTTAGGGGCTACCGTTCTGTTAGGGGAGAACTTTAATTACCTTCAACCATTAAATATTTTAGGTTCTTAGGCATTTTGATTTTTTTAGGAACTAATGAAGGTCTATACAGATTTAGGAAAAAAAATCCTAGGTACTAGCATAAGTTTTGAGGTGTCTAAGCAACCAGGTATATATGGATTTTTTTGAGTGCTGCTGAGAGAAAAGAACAGTAGATGATTCAACTAAAATAAGGTTCTTTTCTAACAGTTTGACAATCAAAGATGTCTTTTATGTATGTTACTAATCAATGTCTCTGGAATGCTCTTATTTAACCACTTTGATACATGTTCAAAACCAAGAATATCCTATAAAAGCTTTAGCTATTCCCTAAGGAACTGCATAATGAAATATATCACTGCCCTCCAAGCCATATTCCAAGGTCCCTAAACTGTTACATAGAGGAAAGTTTAGCAGCTAGAATGAACATAGAACATCTTAAAAATATTTAGTTACATAAGTTATTTGAATGATCAAGCTCCACTTTCCTGGGAAGTGATACAGTGGTACCTCGGCTCACGAACGCCTCAGTTCACAACCAAATCGGGTTGCGAACAGGAATTTCAGAAAAAATTGTCCTTAGGTTGCAAACTCTGCACTAGGTGATGAGCGCGATCATGCCCATCCTCCTTGCACGGGTGCAATCGCGGTCATGCTTGGAGGAGGGGGAGATGGCCGCAATCATGCTCAGGGGGTGGGGAAATGGCTGCGATTGCACCCGTCTTCCCTGCACAAGTGTGCCCACGATCGCGCCCATCCCCCCCAACGCACCTGCAGTCACACCTGTCTCCCCCCCAAGCACACCCACACTTGTGCCCGTCTCCCCCCCCGAGCACACCTGCAATTGTGTCTGTCTTCCCTGTGATTAAAAAAATACTTGCAGAACGGATTAACCTTATTTACATTGAACCTTATGGGAAAATTTGACTTGGCTCACAACCAATCTGGCTCACGACCAGAGTCATGGAACAGATTAAGTTCATGAGCCAAGGTACCACTGCATTTACCTGAAAAGAGGGGTGGGGAGGTCAGCACTGAAACAACCCTTTGGGTGGGATAACGGGCTATGCTATCTAGCTGGTGCATGAAAATGCTGGTGATGTCTAGTTTTAATTCCATTTGAGCTTTTGTGAGCTTTCAGGAAGTCACTTGAGACTTGAAATGCATAGAGCACTGGACAAATCTGGGGCCACTGGAGCTGCAGTGCTGTCCATTGGGTGTTATGACAATGGAATTCAATGACATCAAGTGAAAGGAAGGTGACTGAGGCAGCTGTGTACTTTTGGCCATTTTCCAGCCTCAATAATTCTGGTGAGTTGCCTGCAGTCCTCTGTAGCTAGAAAGTCATGAATACCAGACCAGTTAATGGGAATGGTTGTACCATCTCTGACCTGACAGCTGAAGAACATGCTGACTTAGCTTCTATCATCAGAATCTTGTTGGATGAAGATGGGAGTATTAGCTTTCTGCAGGGTTCTTGAACAGTATCAAGCTTGAAAGGAGGGAAGTGCTTTGATCTATAGGGAGTCAGTCTTTCTGTTCAGATGCCCCATCCATCCATCAGGCAGTATGTCTGTGCCTAATCTTGGGCATCCAAGATAGGGTAAGAACACTGTTGCTGTACTGTCTACTCTGCTACCTAACTTTCTCCCTATCTTACATTACTGAGGTGACCTCAGTAATCTAAGGCAGAGAGAAAGAGAGAGTCCCAAGGATTTTTTGAGAGAGCGAACACCCCAAGGTTTGTGGTGTTGGTGGGCTTTTAACGCTCATGCCAAGGCTACCTTGTCAGGTGTAGTTCAGAATTTCACAGCCCCCACTGACCTATTCAGAAAATATTTGGCCCAACACATGCAGCAGGGTACATTTTGGATTGGATTTCCATGCTGGACTGCAAGATAATGTGGCAGAGAGCCAGTAGTAACAAGTCATTCAAGAGCCTTGAATTCTTCTGAACTGAAGATTCAACTTTGCTGTATTTTGTAGCACACTTAACTACTCTGTTTGGTCCAAAAGATCTGCACAATTACTCAAATGTCTCTTAAAATGCTTCTTTATTCCTTTTTGTTCACAGTATTTACCTATTTTCTTTCCATTAAAAATTGCATGTGGATCAGGGGTGAGAAGATCAACTAGGAAACCTCCAATTGCACTAAACTGGCAAGAGTTTTTAACTCCTGGTTGCTTAATGATAGCAGCAAGACACAGGGATATAGCTTCCTTATACCAAGTCAGATTATTCTTCCATATAGCAGTATTGGCAACCACCAGGGATTCAGGCAAGAGTTTTCTGGTCATGTTTGGAGATCACAGGGACTGAACCTTGGCCTCTCTACATGGAAAACATCTGATCTAGTACTGAAGCATTGTCCTTCCCCACTTCACTTTAAATTATACTACTAAAATGAGGAAAGTTTAAGATAACCAGGAACAGATTCTTGTGTGGAAGGGCTGTAAGTTCTTGTCACCTTTCGTTACTCAAAATAAGTTGTTGGACTCTGAATATTTTAATCTGAAATATATGTCTTTTGCATGAAACCGAGGTTGATAAATCTAGTTAAAAGAAAGAACAAAACAGATCCTACAACCCTGCAGTCTTCCCACTCCAATGTCAATATATCCATAGATTAACCTGGAGACATATATGTAGGACTGATAGCCAGCTAGCTTAAACATTTCACATTTTCAACCCATTACATATACTGGGAATATATACTTGAGAACTTACGTCAGAAGTCATGTATTATATAGGTATCCTATACAGGTATCCACTAACTTGATGACTTTTAATAAACAAAAGTTATTAATAATAAATATACATGCATAGAAATGGGTGCACAAATTATAAGATTTTTATACTCCTCACTCATATCTCAAAATGTGAAAGGCTAGTAGAAACTCTGAATCTCATACATTTATCTATACACTCCAGTTCAAACCAATAAATATGGTAAAATTTCCTCACAATCTGACTCTTGCACCAGCAAGCCACTCTCTCTGGATTTGCTTTAAATTTACTTATTACATACTTGTACCCTACCCTTCTTTGTCATATAATTCTATCCTCACAACAATCCTGTGAGGTAGGTCAGACTGACCTACTAACTCACCTGTGGTGATCAAGTAAGCATCATAACTAAACAGAAATTAAAATATGTTTGTTAGAAAAACAAATACACTTAGATTTCTTCAGCTCATCCATTATAACAGTTCATAACAGAATATATCCAAATTATCTAAAGCACATATGCAACCTTTTATAGATCAACACAAAGAAAAACCTTAATACAGAAACAGTAATTTAGTAATAGGGATTTCTACTTAAAGTGTTCTGAAAACATTCAAGATTTTTAACTTACTGGGACATATACTTTTTTCAAATGGCATTCTTCTTCCAGTAGTTCATAAACATATTTAGTGATGATCTGCAAGAGAAGACATTTGTGTCACATGAACTGTTCCTGCATTTATACAAGTTTTAATAAAAGAATTACATAATCAGTCTTTTGAAATACATGTGTATTTGCTCCATACAATTAGATTTTAAAAAATGCAATGGGAATGCCATACTGCCCCAATAAATATTTTTGTGCAAACATGTAGCATGATGGTCTGGAATTGCACTGCCTGCTATTGTACCCTAAAACTTACGATAAAGACTATATCATATATAATATATATTCAGAGATACAAGAATAGCTAAATTTGCAGAGAAATCCTTGCAAACATTTTTCAATAAGCAGGCCTCCTAAGCCCTTTTGTCACTGCAGGTCCAGTTCATATGCCACACTGACAGATTTTTATTCACAGAGACAGGACAGGTCAAAGGTGGCCTAGACAGAAAAAGAAATGTTCCTTGTCTTCCTTCACTCAGTAGGGAAACACACTGACTTCGCATTTTCTAAGTAGAACACAAGATAAAGCTGAGCAAAAGTTTTGGGTTCTGCTTGACGTCTTTATTTTTTATTGATTTTTTTCAATATAAGAATGAACAGTAATAGATTCAAATACAGTACATATGAGTCAATACAGTCTTTGTGATCACTCAGGATATATTTTGGTACAAGCAAGATTTTCTGATAAAGTTATCATTCCATATCATACTACATCACACAAGTATTCTCCTCAATATTAGCAGAAAGTTTGCAGAAAGAGATAGTAGCACTGGTTTTTGTTATACCTTGTTTATGAAGCCAAAGCCTTTGCAACTGTGAGCCATTCTACCACATAAACAGGTAGGCAGGTGCTACACCTCAAACAACTAGGATATACCATCCAATTAAAACAGTTCAGTTTTACACAGTGCCTTGCAGAAAAAATCACCACCCTTTTGACTCTTCCACATTTTATTGTGTTACAGTCAGGAACTGAAATGGGTTTAATTTGCACTGTTACCATTTGGTATATACAAGATTCTAGCTACCACCATGTTTCATTGTGAGGATGGCTTTCCCAGGCAATGAACACTTTTGACTCTGTCCCACACATAGCATTTTGCAGCAATGCCAAGTAGCTCAGTTTTTTTTCTCATCAGATCAGAGAACCTTTGTCCACATTTCTGTAGTCTCCTACATGCCTCGGTGCAAACACCAAATAATTTTGTTTCTGCAATGACTTTTTCCTCGCCACTCATCCATAAAGTTTCATTCTGCAGAGTGTCTGGATGATGGCTGTCCCCACATACAAGGTCTCCCTTCTCAGTTGGTAATCACTCAATCTCTCTAAGAGTTATCATTGGTTGCTTTTCTAATTAATGCCCCCTTTACCCCATGACTAAGTTTTGGTGGATGGCTTCCTCTAGGCAGAGTTTCAGTTCAGTCATATTCTTTCCATTTTGTAATAATGGATTTAACAGTGCTCTGGGAGATATTCACAGTGTGATTTTTTTAAATAGCCCAACTCTGATTGGTGTTTCTGCCCAATGTTATTCCAGATAGTTCTTCAGTCCCCATAATGCCATTTGTTTTGATATGCCCTCCAACAAATTCTGGGTCCTTTCACAAAAAGGTGGATTTAGTCTAAGTTCATATGGCATTAGAATTGTACACAAGTAGACTCCACTCAACTACTTACTTTTGCAAGTGGTCTGTTGCACCAGACCTTATTTAGGAAGGTTACAGCAAAAAGGGTGGATACTTATGCAACTAACAAAAGCCAGATTGTAACTTTTGTACCACAATAAAAATATTTTGCACTTTCACAGCGTTGAGTATCTTGTGTGCATCAAGTAGTAACAATGCCAGTTAATTCAGTTCCAGTTGTAAAACAACAAAATGTGGAAAAGTCAAAGGGGATGAATAATTCTGAAAGGCACTGTACCATCTGTGCTTTATCTTCAATGCATTTTCTTTCTCATGGATGCCATGGGGACCATAAAACATAGTGATACCTGTTGCTCTGTACTGATGTGCAATCCAGATCTCTTCATCACAACATTTTTGCTTCCTCTGCCTTGCCAATAATGAGGACATTTAACTTCTTAAATATTTTGCAAGAAAGCCCTTTGTTTCAGATTTTGTTCAAGTCAGGAAACTTTCCAATCTATTTACCAGGCGTACAACTTGTGTGTTTTTAGTCAGGGGGGATGGGAAATGAGGAATGTAGTGTACCTGAAACTATTGTATATCCTCTGATAATTGTTATCTGTGTTTCAGTTTTTGGTTGTAACCTCTTATATAGGTCAACAGGACTGTAAACACCATCCCTTCTATTTGGCCAACTGCTTAAATTATTCTCTAATATAAAAAGTAAATGACAAAAAATGAAAATCATAGAAGAAGAAGAAATCTAATGCTCACTTCATTCTTGTGTGAATCATCACACTCTTTAAGAAGGAATTATTTATTTCTGATTTTGAATATTTACATTGAAATGATATATACTTTCTTCTGGTCCGTATCAGCCACCTTTTTGAACTTCCTCATATAAAATGTTTGCACAGCATTTAGGATAGTTCATTTTCAAAAATAAAATGTGGAAATTGTCCCATAAACAGCTGGATCCACCTTGAAGGTTTGAAGGGGAAAAGAGGCAATCAGTTTAAACCCATCTCCACATCATTAAGCCCCATTTCCCCAATGGTCAGTATTCTAGTGTTGCTGGTTTCCTTTCTTATTGACTGCTCCAATATCCTCCTTTTGTATCACAAAGCCAGCTTAGATACTTATATTTAACACAATAAAAACTTTAGTTAAAAATCCTTGCCCTGATCTGCTTGGAAGAAGGGAGAGAAGACTCAACACAACACTGGAATTTCCAGTTTTCTTCCCTCCCTGTCCATCAGAATGCCACCTTTTCTTGTCTCCAAGATCACTTTCCTGACCCCAGAGAACATTCAGCTAGGTTCTTTCCATGCTGGCTGCAATAAGGAGAAGAGACAGAGCATTGTCTCCAACCTTGGATGTGGGAACTTGAAATATTTTAGGTCCATGGGATCACTCCTTCTATTACCTTTGTTTACTTCTGTAATATGCTGGTTTCAGTGTAGCCTATGACAAACATCTTTTTTTCTATTTGCTTCATTTTTTTTGTTTTGCATTTATTTCTTGTGCATGACATGGATACATCTGCATAAAAAGATGCAAATGTTTAATTTTTTTTAACTCAAAATTTCTTTTTCCTTGATGGTCCTTCACTGAGGTTATATTATTTCTTGTTGTTTTCCATCTCAGTTTATTAGCTAATACTTCCATAATTCTATTTACAAATTCATAAAATAACTTATTGGCATATTAGAAATAATTTGCCATCTGACTAATTTCTAATGAGTTAAGCTCATTTCTTTATTCATTTCACATCCTGAGTATGATCAGTTGTGAAATGCAAACCTGTGGGCTTCAAATTCCTCAGGGATGTTATTTAACTTGTATTTTGGCACTATGTTACTGTTAGTGTTTTTTCTTTTTAGCTTATCTCTGATTTTTGAAGTTAAGAGTTCATAGTCACAACCAGAGTCTGCTCCCAGCAGCAGGAATACATCTGCTTCCCATTACATAATCTATTTGATTTCTGTATTGGACATCTAGTGATGTCCATTTATGTAGTTGTCTCATCAGTAGCTTGAAGTATGTATTTGTGATGAACAGATAGTTAGTTTGACAAATTTCTATGAGTAGATCTGCTTCATTTCTTACCCCCAGGCCAAATTTTCTTAAAACATTTGATTCTGCTTTATACTCTGCATTGTATTAATCTAGGATTAGCAGCATGTCTTGTTTTGGTGTGCTAACCATTTCCTCTTGAAGACGTGCATATTTTTCCTTTCTTCTTCTTCTTCAGCATCTGTTGTTGGAGTGTACCCTTGAATCATAGGTGTGCTGATTGGTTTTCCATAAATTCTGATTGAGACAATTTGGTCAGGCTTTGCTTTGTAGCCCCTTACAGCCTGTATCAGTGGCTCTGATCCTCAGTATCAGAGCCACTCCATTTCTTCTGAGCTTGTCATTTCTGCATTAAAGCATTCTGTCTGTCTGATTGGAAATGGCCCATTCTAGTCCACTTCAGTTTATTCACATCAAGTACTGCAATGTTAGCCATTCCATTTCTTGCTTTAGTTTCCAGTTTGCCTTGATTCATGCGGCTCAAATTCCAACTGCATATGCTGTGCTGCACTGAATTTTTTTTCACCCCCATGCATTTCAAGCACTATGCTTCCTTTTGGCCTTGATCTAGTTGTGTCATTAACATCAGACTTGTTCTTTGCATTTGTATCTGTTCTTTATTGCTTCCCAGTAGCCAGCTGAGTGCCTTCCAAACTGGCAGTTTCATCTCCTGGTAATATTTCTTATTTCATTTTGCATTGTTTCATGAAAAGGTTTTCAAGGTAAGAAATATTGAGAACGGGTTTACCACTGCTTTCTTCTGCACAGTACTAACCAGAATTAGTTTGAGCATCACTGCCATTGTCTGTGAAAGATCTTCTGCCAATGTTGTGTTCAACTACCACTGCCAGTCAGCTGTCCTTCAGATGTTTCTCCACCACCATCATAATCAGACAGTTCTGCTTCTGCTGATGTGACCATTAATCCTGGAAAGGCTGGATGTATCTCAGTCTGGTGTCTCTGGAATGACCACTCCACCTTGGGTGACCCTGCTAGGAGACCAGCCAAGTTAGATAGTCTGGTCACTGGCGGCATTACTCTTGGGTTCTCTGACACTGTCAAACCCCATCACTATGTGAAAGTGCACATCCAAGAGGGGGATTAAAAACAAAAGCTAGCTATACAACTCTTTAAGGATGTTCACACTCTACCAAAGCCTATTTGAATTTTGAATCTAAAATGTTCAAATCAGATGAGCTGTAGGTAGCCATTCTGTTTGTTTGTGGTTTTGGAATACTGTGTTATGCACATCTTATCAGCTGCATAGTGGCTGATTTTCCAAAAGGACTGTTTCTTCTTTCTTGTGGACCATGGGATCTATATTC